ATATATACATGTAATATAAAATAGTATGTGAAATATAAATAAGAATTATTCATTAATTATCAACTGATGATATATGATGGATAACCATCTGAACTTTAAACAAATGTTTAGGTTTACGTTTATGAAACAAGTTGTCGTTATAACAACTTTAGCGATTAAAGCGTATTCAGATCAAAATATGCATGACAAATAGCGCAAACAACAAGAACAAACAAGTGATAATAACAAACATAGCATCATTGTGTCACTGTTGCTACACCTAATCAACTGAACATTTGATAAATCAGACGCAACAGTAGAAAACGTGATTTTCTGGCACTCGCGTATGTTAAGTTTAAGAGCATGTCCATTTGAGTAGCTCTTGCTTGATTTATCCATTTCAAATAATAGTTTAAGCCGACGTCATTTATTATAGTGTTCCATACTGACTGTCTGACTGAATTGTTGACTTGGCAAAAGTTCAATAAATGGTCATTTACATCGTCACAAATATTTTCACACTTTTTACATAGTTCTGTAAACTGACGTGAAACTCTCTTTCCGGCAAGCATAACAGCTACGGCACACATGGGACGTAACTCTGGATGCACTGTTGCAATAATCCAAAGACACATGGGTGCCCGGACTTTGGCAAATAATCAACATTTGATATAGTGTCTGAAAAGTTTTGGGTTAATCGTTCATTCCTCTGAAATTTCTCTGGAATTATCACATGTAGATGTAATAGTGTTTTCCATTGTTGTTTTGAGTGAAATATGCCGGTACTTATATATATATCTAGTTCATTAAGTAAATTGTATTTTTTGAGAAGTCTGTATATATCAGGTATAAAGCCAGATATTTGACCATCACTATTCAGGTACCTAGTTAAACGTTGTATAAATATTTGTTTGGCTAAATAATGGGCCGGAAGTCTACACAGCTGCCCGAAAAAGACAAGCTTTTTATAATCTATGATTGTCTCTATAGAGTCTATATCTAATGCAGAAAGTGAAAAGTCTGTACTTATTCCAGGTTTCAAAGATTGTATATTCTTTACACAGAAACGATGGGAAATCTCAAGTTGACGTATTTCCCTCTCAGCAAACGTGTGCCAGAGTTCACTCCCATACAATGCCTTCGGAATCACAACGGATTTGTAAATTGTTTTTAAAGTAAGCGGATTAATTCCATTCGGGTGCAAACCGCTGTTAAGGACACTAATATACGTTCCTCGTAGTTTAATACAAGCGTCCTGGATTGATTTCTTGGTTGATAAAAAACTATTACAATTAATACCAAGGTGTGTATATTCCACTACTTCATTGACGGTTTGAGGACCTAATTTCCATCGGCGTTCCATATTTCTGTTTCCCGCCTCGTTAAACACAATCACACCACATTTGTTCGCATTATACTCAAAACGCCATTTTACAGAGTAATTATGACAAATTGACATCATTTCCTCCAAACCTTTCCTAGAAAAAGATACTAGAATCATGTCATCTGCCACAGTGGGTGCACATACATTCATATTAAACATACAAAAACCAAAATTACTATCTGTCAATTCGTTGATAAGCCCGTTTATGAAGATGAGATATCTTCTGTATAAAGTTGGTGAACACTTACTACCTTGCCTGGTACCTTGCATAATAGGAAAACATGCTGATAGGAATCCCTGGTTCCTCACACAACTAGTTATGTTTTTGTATAAATTTGAGAATGTAAGGAATGATGTCATGTCAATTCCAGTTTCAAGCAGTTTATACAAAAGGCCGTTATGCCACACTCGATCAAACGCTTGCTTTCCATCTAAAAAACAAACGTAAAGCTTGCTGCTGTGCTCACGTGAATAAAATACACTCTCGCGCAAAATAAAAGACGTCATTAATGTCCCTAATTGTTCTTGAAATCCACCTTGTTGCTTGTTTATTGTCGAAAGTAATTTATCTTTACAACGTTCTAGCAGAACCATTTCAAATAGTTTAAGAATAGTTGAAGTTAAGGAAATAGCTCTATAGTTATTCGGATCATCTTTCCTCTTATTGCCGCCTTTATGTAAGGTTATAATTATGCCACTTTTCATTGAGTCTGGGATGTAAGCATTTCTCAACATGAAAGTAAAAATGTTTGCAATAATGGGAGAAATAGCTTCACATGCATAAATTAAATGCTCGTAATACACTTTATCTGCTCCACAGGCTTTTCCCTTTGGACACGTTTTTATTAATTTTATCACACTATCTGGTGTAACTGTAACATGTTTATCTGGGGCATTTATTAGGATAGTATCAGAGACTAGTTCATTTACTACACCATACCAGTTGTCGTCATATAATGGGTTCTCACATGGACTATACAAATTTTTGAAATATGACGCCCACTGCTCAGTCAGATCTTGTGCATCTCTGTAGATATGATCGTTGAATTTTATACCTGCACCTGTGGATATTTTAGCTGAGTTTTTGCGACTCTTGACAATTTTCCAGAACTGTTTTGATCAACTTCAGCCGTGCGATCTAACTCATGGTCTAGTTTCATAAGGTATTGTTGCACGTGATATCTGTGTGTGCGCCTGAATTCACGTTTTGCAATTTTGTACTGACAGTATATATTATCCGACGGATTTCGAGGTCTTCCATCCGCACACCACGCCTTTCTTTTTTCAATCATAATTTTGTGCGCGTTTTCAAGTTCATGATTCCAGTATGGTTTGAGAAACTTCTTAAATTTTGATTCTGGAAGACACTTAGAGGCATTTGTAATTGATTTAGTTAATTTTCCATATGCAAAATCAATTCCTTTTTTGTCTAACTCACAATATTCTAAAGACATTAATTCAGTATCATCCTTTAATACCTGTTTGTACTGATTAGCGCAATTATCAGTCACACGTTTCCAGTTAATCTTTGGTTAGATTTTTGCCGTCCATACAAATTAAAGTGACGTTGGATATAAATAGAGATTGCATAGTTAAAAGTCAACATACCATACACGTTTTTCATTATTAATTATTGCTTAATCTATATTATTATAGTCATGCTCTTGAATTATATTACTTATCCATGTCAACTTGACAGCAAAAGATGAGCATTGTGTCACTTTCATTGCCCAATTCGAGTAAAGTTTGATTAAGTTATATGACCGATGAACTATTAGAGAAACCCAAAAATAATGTAAGAAAATGAAAAATAAAAGTAAAAGAATTTTATTGCTTTAATGGTTTTTATTATGTTATATTCCTCGTAGAGCTTGACCTATGCTCAAGTATAATTTTAACTTCATTATAAGTTTACGCTTAAAATATATGTAAGAAACTGTTTGTCAGTCGGTCGGTCGGTCGCTCGCTCACTCACTCACTCACTCACTCACTCACTCACTCACTCACTCACTCACTCACTCACTCACTCACTCACTCACTCACTCACTCACTCTCCCTCTCCCACTCACACAGTCTCTCTCTCTCCCACTCACTCACTCACTCACTCACTCACTCACTCACTCACTCACACACACACTCACCAACTCACACACTCACTCACTCACACACTCACTCACTCACTCACTCACTCACACACACACTCACCATCTCACTCACTCACTCACACACTCACCAACTCACTCACTCACACACTCACTCACTCACTCATTCACTCACCCAGTTTTAGTAGAGAAGCAGGGTATCGGACTCGCAACTCACTTAAATTGACTTTATTCTGTACCTATTAATGGCATGTGACGCACAGCGGGTCACGAACATAAGTAGATAGTATTACTAACGTATCTGACAAGTACTCATTAAAAACAAAATAAATAAACAGGAAGGAACGCACAACAATAAACTGTCGCACATAAACAACAATAATTAATGGTTTAATGTACATGTATCCATTCAAAACTAATTTGATTTAAATTGCAGTACTGTGGTGATCACACAGTGTAATTTTCTTTCCAACATCTCTATACTTACGAAATAACGACTATACATGTACATGTACTATCTTCATTCATTTTTTTTCTATTTCATTAGGATTCAGTATTTGTTAACTTGAAAATTGAAGTTTGATTTTAGATTTAAACACTTTTTGTAACTCTAGTATGTAAAAAATCTTAATATATTTACTCGGGAAGTTTCCGTGGAAATGAATGTTAATATTTACTCAGGAAGTTTCCGTGGAAATGAATGTTAATATTTACTCGGGAAGTTTCCGTGGAAATGAATGTTAATATTTACGCGGGAAGTTTCCGAAGTTACGAATGTGAATATTTGCTCCAGAAGTTTCCGTTATAAGAAAAAAATTATTCGGGAAGTTTCAGTGGTAATAAATGTAAATATTGACTCGGGAAGCCCCCGTGGTAATGAATATTAATATTTACTCGGGAAGTCTCTGTTGTTGCGGATGTGAATATTTGTTCGAAAAGTTTCTGTTGCAGTGGGTGTTTTTATTTACTTGGAAAATCTCCGTGGTAATGGATTTTTATTTTTGATCGGGAAGTTTAAAGTTCCGTGGTAATGAATGTTAATATGTACTCGGGAAGTCTCCGTTGTTGTTGTGAATATTTACTCGGGAAGTTTCCGTTGTAATGTGGGTGTTTTTATTTACTTGGGAAGTCGCCGTGGTAATGAATGTTTATTTTTGTGCGGGAAGTTTCCGCGGGAACTGAAGTGGCGTCATATTATTCATTTAAACATCGGAGTTGTTAGATAATGAACGTATAATTTACCACAATGTCCTGCGTAGAATATTTGACAATCCCTCGGTTACATAATATGCGCCAGCGTCTATCAAATCTTTATGAAAGATCTTTTTTAAAACGCAAATGGATTCAAAGGACGGACTAATGCTTTTATAAAACATTTTAAGGATTTTATAAAAACATTTACGTTCTTTTTTTTTTTACTCTTTTCATTTAAGATCGGATTCAAATTGTTGCCTTTTGATGACGTCATTTAGGAGTACATTACGACAACTGTTAAGTTACATTATTTTTGATTTTTTATGGTAAAACAAATGCATGTTAAGATACATGTAATTATTTTACGCCACTTACTATCATTGTATCTCCTTACGTACTTTGGTCAATCAATTAAACAGTATTTAAAGTCAGGAAATGAAATTTTAAGGGTACTTGCGTACGTATAATTGTGACTGATTCACACAACAATTACTCAGAGGATGTCAATTGATTGAACCTCCTTCAATTTGCTGAAAAATAAATTTTCTTGATAATAAAAAAGTGATATTTGCTGGAATAGCGTATCTATATAATAATGAATATGTAAGCATAAGTGCGAGTTATGATAAACATGGAATTAAAAAAATGATGAAGTTAAAAACCTGGAGCAATTCCAATAATTCTTTATAGTCAATTTCGTTTTATACTGATTTTTTTAACTGGGAGTGTAAAATATGATTTTGGTTTGTTCACAGCTGTACGTGTTGTGTTAATATAATTCAACATTTTGTGACTTTTCATTGCTAATTTAAAATTCTGGTGCTTTCAAACATTTTAAAAACATTGAAGTTATTGTTGTTTTTCAGTAATGTTGTGTTTTGTATAATTTCAAATAAAAACAACTGAATTACACGTATATGAATATTTTGATATGTAATTTAATAATAATCAATGTTGTGCAAAGTCAGATAGATGGAAACATTTTGAAAGATTGTTTATCAATATAAAGTAAAAAAACAAACATAAAAGACAAATATGTATAACAATCATGGACAGCTACCGAGCCAAGTGTCGGTCCGTGTGATGGTGGATATTGTCATATGGTTTGCTGGTAAGTAGTTTAGCGAATTTCTATTACTTTCATTCATTCCGTCCGTCCGTTCGTCCTAGCAATCGAATTAGATTTATTGGAAATGAATGGTATTAAGCAATAGATTTATTCGGTAACAAAAGACGAATGAGCCATGACCTTTACAAAACAAATAACACTCGTATGTCAAATTCGGTAGAATATCTTTCTTTCATCCATTTTATCCATCCACCCATCCATCCATCCATCCAGCCATTCATTCATTCATTCATTCATTCATTCATTGATCAATGCAAAAGCAATAATACATTTTCTTTAACAATACTAGATCCAGAACATAAATTCATAAAACCTTTATGCAAATGTATAATGTTCTAGACAAGGTATTGTGGGAATTCAATATAAACTACTTCATATCTAACGGGAATTATATAAATAACCTACAACATATATATAACCTCAAAAATATTTAATTGAAAGAGAATCATTTTTAACTCATCTGTTTCAAAGGAAAAAGTCGAGCTGACTTTAACTGCCTCGTCGCTGTCGTCGTTCAAAAATGTAAAATGTTGCCCATCATTCAAACATTTTAAGTTTAAAGTTTAAATATAAATCAACATTAAAGTTATCAACATGAATCTTAGAATACAAGCTTATCATGACAAAAGGCAGTTTTTCAGTTAAGGGGCATAATTCTCAAAGCTATATTTTTGAAGTTATGTCCATTTTTTAGAAGATTGGTAATTGCCCTTACCAGACGAGCGTTAACATTGCATGCGGTGCTCTGATTATTAAGATGCTAAACACCTGACATAATGCTCATTGTTTCCGTTGACAAGTTGAGCTAAAGAAACTATATATCTTAAAAAGATTGACTATTGTAATGGATATTGACTAGTTACTGTTACTGTGGTAAAATACAAAATACTGCCTAGAGTATAAAAAAAAACTGCCCCACTCTTTTATTAAGTGAATATTACCGATAAATTACGGACGATATTGATGAAAAGAAACTGTGTGTTAAGTGAATTGTTGATTATATATGTGAAGCAGGATTAAAAAAAATGAAAAAAGATCTAATAATGACAATTTCTAAAGTTATATTGCCCTTCCTGATTTCTCACGCTTTACAAGTGGACTGGCATTCACAAAGTTTCTAACATAAAAGAATTTCAAATGTTCGCCGTCATTAACAAAATGTATGGTATATAAGAAACCGATATCAAAAATAGCACTACACTATTATGATACAATTTATCTATGTTAAAACATATTCTAGCCTTTAAAAAGCGAGTAAGAATATCAAATGTATGTTTGACCTTATTTGTGATCAAACAAAATCAATAAAAAATATTTCGTTTATAAAATTATTGATGAATACTGCATATCTCAATATGTATCCATAATGAATAATGCATATCTCAATATGTATCCATAATGAATACTGCATATCTCAATATGTATCCATAATGAATACTGCATATCTCAATATGTATCCATAATGAATACTGCATATCTCAATATGTATCCATAATGAATAATGCATATCTCAATATGTATCCATAATGAATACTGCATATCTCAAAATGTATCCATAATGAATACTGCATATCTCAATGTGTATCCATAGTGAATACTGCATATCTCAATATGTATATATTGATTTTTTTTGTAGATATTAATTTTTTTGCAAATATTTGTTGTGTTCCCTTCTAATAAGAACGAGTGCTTTTTATGTGTTCCATTCCACGTGTATATTTTGATGAATTCGATTTAAGAAAGAAAACATTTTCCCTGGTTAATATATATTGTATCTTATCATGCAAAAAGAAAAGTTATGAGAATTCTGACCCAACTCTATGAGAAACCAACAGTTCATGTGAGAAAATTCTCAATTATAGCTTATATTGATTGACACTGTAGAAGAGAGAACCAGAGAAAAGTTTTGTTTGTAAAATGAATTATGAGTTTTCGTTTTCTTTTGATGGGTTGGGGGTTACAAACGGAATTGTTTGTGTTTCTGAAAGCGAAATAATTTATGTACTGCTTTTCTTAGGATAGTGTTCTTTGAAATATTTATGAAACTTAAGGTTCAATGTTTGGATGCATTAGTATTTAGGAAATGAGGGCGGTAAAAAAGTTTCGGGCTTGTGTGCATTTAGTTGTGTGATACACCCGGAAGAGAATTTTTACGACGGTTTTGTTTGAATTTCTTGTATTTCTGATTTTTCATGATCTAATAAAAAATTACGGCAAGACTGTGTAAGATTGCACATATTTAACATACATTTTTCTTGAAAATAATAATTGGAGTGTATGTTCGTAATGGTTGAAGAATTTCACCGACAGATTAATATTCGAGGCATTGTTGATGTATTAATCTGGCTGACTGGTAAGAAAGTTACTGTTTTATTTGTTAAATATACTTTTTTATTAATTAAATGATTCAAATTTTAATTGAAATATTCGACAATGAATACTGCTCACTTTCTAAATGTCGTCTGCCAATAAGATAGCACGAGATGATCTGTATATAAATGTTCTACGTTTTACAAAGAAGCTTTTATTAGATCAAGATATGAGCCGCGCCATGACAAAACCAACATAGTGCGTTTGCGATCAGCATTGGTCCCAGATCAGCCTGCGCATCTTTAAAGTTTTCCAAAGTGAGGGGATAATTTCAACGTTTGCTCAAATTTTCTTTAAAATATATTGGTTAATCTTGTCTAATATAGAATACATTTACCATGTAGTTTTGATTTTATTAGACATATCAGTTGATATTGTTATTAAAGTTGGCATTTTAGCCAAAAGATTATTAAATCCCACTATAATTATATTATAAAAGTCAAAGACTTTTATCTTTGCACGAAGTACCTGAGACATACTTAAAAATATTAAAAGAAGGCAAGGGAAAAAAAAGGTTTATTCTTGAGGTGTTTGAACCCACACCCCTCGGTTTCAATGCAGTTGAAAGCAATTCTAGTCTACCTAAATACTCTTCAAAGCGGAGGAAGCGTATTGGGGGGGTCGTTTTTTCCTAGAAATGAGTAATTTCAGCAAATTTCTGTAAAATAAAATAACTGGTTGTCTTCCGGAATAAAGTCGCCCATAAGAATTTACGGCGGTAACTATAAATAAACGTATATCATAAACACGAAGACATATTAACTGTTTAAAGGGACAGTTAGACTTCAGTCATCTTAATTATTCTGTCCATTATAGTAACAGTTTACGTGCGCCCCAGTTGACACTTTTGGGGTTGTCCTATTTTTGGGGAAAAGTCCATTTTTTCAGATTTTTTATTTTTAAATTTTTTAACTAGTTTTTTTAAAACAAAAGCGAACTTTTTTTCCTTTCCTTTTACAACTTACCTACCGCATTGTTCAAAAGTGGACCTTGTGATAGGGCATTATTCTATTTCTAGTTTTGATCATATAAAGGGACACTGAGGTTTTTGACATGATGGGACTGAAAATATTTTTCCAGATAAATGTACCATTTGATGTAGGTTTAGACCAATAATCTTTGTGCAAAATTTCAGATCATTCTCGCACTTCGTTTTTCCAGAATGATTAATCACATTGTAAAAAAATGACCCAAAATGAAAAGCGTTTAAACGCTTTTCACTCAAATCGGAATAAGAGAAGCATAAAAATACGATTTTCAATCTATTTTAAAGTATATTTCTTAACTCTCATTGCATATATTTCAAAGTCTAAAGTGTCCCAGCTCATTTATGTCAGAAATTCAAATGTTATGTTTTTAGGCTTTTAAACCTCAGTGGAGACCCTAGTAATGTCAATATGCCTATTGTATATTAAAGTGGCATTATGCATATCCACGTGTAAATGTTCAGTTATCAGGTAAAAAAGATTTAAAAATGACATTTTTCCATGTTTGTCTGTTATATATTTTTTATGATCAATAACCAATAATCCACATGACCAAAAAGGAAATTTCTACAGATACAATTCTGAAAAACAGAGTAGGGCAGCCGAAAAGCATAATTTAGATAGATTTTATGTCGTATTATAAACACTTTTAATTATTAATTATTGATCTATCACCATAATAACTGCCAATCTTTTGAAATATATTACTAATTCAACTCAAATTAACAGTCTTAAAATTAGTATACCTTTAGTAAGGTATAGTCATTTGATGTTTTAGTCCCTTTAATTTTCAATAACAGGCTTTCTAATGTAGGTTATATATACATAGGTTATATATACATATAGCTTATATGCAAATTAATTACAGACATTTTTCTAGCATTATACGTATATTCAATTCTATAATAACGAAGATATCTACACATACTTGGATAGACAAACATTGTAACAAGTTAATGAAATATATAAAGGTTAAAATGCTGTATACCATTCTTGTTAGAAAATTAAATACTGTCGTGTTCATAACAAGTAAGACAGGTTAAAGACCACAATAGCAGCTTTTAACCAAAGAGGCCGGATTGTCTTTAGCCCGAGTTTTTTTTCTTGGAGCCGGATTGACTGAAGACTAGACTAACTTAGAGCCGAGTTGGATAATCTGTCTCCGAATAGACTTGAACGCGTGCTGACTTTGGGCCGGGTCGCCAACTAAACCGGGAGGCCGAATTGACTTGTAGCCCGATTAACTTGCTTCCTTCATCACTTGTTTCTTTAAAAACCGATTTAGCGCATGACAGAGGTGATATATAGCAACCCACGGGTTGCCATTTAAATATCAAACAAGGCATTTTCGCTTGTTGTTGGATTTCTCAACTTTCTATTTTACACTCGCCGAGAGGGCCGTCGCCGTCACACATATGGGTCAAGTTTTTGACGTGTAAGTTTTTGGTATCCAAGGAATGGGTTGAAAAACTTCACACAAGTTGTTCTCTTGATTGTTTTTACTGCTGATAACAGGTGGCCATAACTTCTGAGTTACCCTTTTACAGGAGTTTGCCCTTTTTCTAGCTCTTGTTTATATATTTCAAAAACCCCTGAAACGCCCATTAACTTGTTTCATTTTAAAATCAAAACATATCTATTCTTGAAGCCCTGGTAACTGTTATTCATTAAGCAGCCCCTCCCAGATCTATTTTGTACTGACCTCTAAGCACCTTCAGTTAAACTTTTCGGATACAAAATTTCATTTTTTTTACAAAACACATATACATTTATTACGAAATGGACAGTTTAAGTCTAAACGGGAACTCCATTTTCTACAATATGAAACCAGGCAATGTTTAAGGGAGACAGGATTGGAGTTAACATAAACACATATATATTACATCGTGTTTCTCTTTCAGTGGCAGTACCGGTGTTGCTCCTATTTATACAAGGTAAACCTTATGAAAGAGGATTTTTCTGCGAGGATCAGTCTTTAAGTTTACCTTACAAGCCGGAAACTCTTTCAACATCGTCCCTTCTTGTAGCCGGAGTAGTTGTTTCCTTTCTCGTGGTAAGTTATATCCATTGTTTCACAGAACACGTTACGTTTTAATTTGAAGCTTTTATTCTTGAATAATTTTATCTTATAATAATAATAATAATAATAATAATAATAATAATAATAATAATAATAATAATAATAATAATGATAATGATAATGATAATGATAATGATAATAATAATAATAATGATAATGATAATGGTAATAATAATAATAATAATAATAAAAATAATAAATAAAAAGAAAATAATAATAATAATAATAATAATAATAATGATAATGACAATGAATACAATAGAAACTGTATTTTGTTGTTGTTGTTGTTGTTGTTGTTTTGGTCTTTGTTGTTATTTTTGTGTTGTTGGGAGTTGGAGTGGGTTTAAGTATTGTTTATTTAAACAAGTGTAGTGCACACGAGGAACAAACAATTATTTAAGTTTTATTGAAAATTAATGTATAATGATATGAGCCGCGCCACGACAAAACCAACATAGTGCGTTTGCGACCAGCATGGATCCAGACCAGCCTGCGCATCCGCGCAGTCTGACCAGGATCCATGCCTCTTCGCTTACCAACCCTATTACAAGTAGAGAAACTGATAGCGAACAGCATGGATCCTGATCAGACTGCACGGATGCGCAAGCTAGTCTGGATCAATGCTGGTCGCAAACGCACTATGTTGGTTTTGTCATGGCGCGGCTCAAATATGTTTTCTGATTTATGAACTGGTATTGAATTATTCTCACGTACCTTACCAACTTCTCAGTATAAACACTTAAACCATAGTGTCAGTTCTCCGAACAGCAGTTGGAGGTTTTTTTATCATTGACCAAATAGTATATGAAAAGGATCTGTGTTGCCTAGGAGACAAACGCCAAGGGCCATAGATCTCGTGCTTACCCAAAAGAGAGATCAATGTTTTCCTTTAATATCTTCAAGACAAATTTTATAAATAAAGACACTATGCCGCGAAATAAATAAATTTTTACTTTCTTTAGAAAAGGGCTAACTTGAATTTTACAAAGTTTAAATAATGGTTTAAGAGTATGTTATATGCTTGTTAGAAATATTAGCTCTAAATGTGAAATAATTTGTCATAAAAGTAAATGAAAACAAAATAGTATAATTTTGACTTCCATACAAGACGCTAAATCATTATGAATAACAGAAGAGGATAAGAATTTTCAAGTACTTAGTCAATGAATAACCGTTTGGAAACTATAAAAGTATATCCATAATAAAAACTTTCGGGAAAGAAGATTAAAAGCATTTCTCAAGAATAATGAGCTTTAACTTTTGTAATCTTCAAGAAACAATTTTAATTTTTAATCTTCAAGTTAAGTTTCCAATATATATTTAATGATAATTTATTATTGATCCAATTATCGATACAGTTTTCAAGAGTGTTGTGTTTTCAGATTGTAGAAACAATTAATGAGCCGCGCCACGACAAAACCAACATAGTGTGTTTGCGACCAGCATGGATCCAGACCAGCCTGCGCATCCGCGCAGTCTGATCAGGATCCATGCTGTTCGCTTACCAACACTATTACATGTAGAGAAAGCTTACGGAACGTCGGTGGTTCTACTCAGGTGCCCGTTCGTGCCTGAAATACTGCATGGAAGGGCACCTGAGGTCTTCCTCCACCAGTAAAGCTGGAACGTCGCGATATGACCTAAACTGTGTCGATGTGACGTAAAACCAAAAAACAAACAAGGAGAGAAACTGATATCGAACAGCATGGATCCTGATCAGACTGCGCGGATACGCAGGCTGATCTGGATCCATGCTGGTCGCAAACCCATTATGTTGGTTTTGTCGTGACGCGGCTCATTTATTGTCATGTTGTTTCAGATTATTTTAACGGAGGTATTGAGCTGTTTGAACGCGAAATGTCACACCCGCTGTCTCACGAGAGAGAGACTTATTTACAGCATCAAGTGCTATGCTGTCTTCCTGACTGGGTTCATACTACAGCAAGCAATTGAAAAGGTCGTAAAGAATAGGACCGGAATACTCCGACCAAACTTCTTTGATGTTTGTAAACCCCGTTTTTAAAACGTCCCTGTGTTTCCCCCGGGAAAAAATGTTATATTTTAAATTTCAATATTTGGGTAACCCTATATGCCGGGCCCGATAAACGCCCAAAACCTAATTTGCCCTTCTGTTCGCTAAGTCGACCAAAACTTTTTTAAGGGCGGGCCGTGGGCCCATTGGGTTAAAGTCGTTTTTACTTCAAACCCCTTGCCCCTCACTAAATGTAGGGTTTAAATTTTCCCGCCCGGAAAATTTGGATTTTTTTCATGTTTAAGAAACATTTCCAAACTAGGCCCTTTCGGAACGGGCAGTGGTTCTATCAGGTAACCCCTTCGTGCCTGAAATAATGCACCTGAGGTCTTCCTCCACCAGTAAAGCTGGAAAGTCGCCATATAAACAATACTGCGTTGGTGCGACGTTCAACCCAACCCCAAAAAAGTTTATGATGTACGCAGCAATGAGAAATACGTTGATCATAATATGGTATTACCCGAAATTAATTGCTGACTTTTTTTAGTAACAGTAAAATTAGACCATATTCGTAGATTTTGGGTAAATCTGAAAAATTATTTTTATCATTACTTTGCATTTTTATGTGTTTTAATATCTTAAGTTCATAGAAAATTAATGCTGTTTCCAAAAATATCTTACATATGAACTATATGTATTTCCTGTTAACATTTCATGAGTCAAACATAACATATATGTATGCAGTAATATACAATAACTTCATTTGAAGTGCTTAAAATTCTTAAAATACTATTTGTATTGACAATTGTTCTTAAATTAAACTACTAGAGGATAATAATTATAATGTTTCCATCTTATTTCAGCTATATTACTAACTACACGTGCGCTGGTTCCGACCATAAGGAGATACGGGAGAGTCGATTATCGTTCCCATCCGGTCACTCTTCACTTGCTTTGTATATTGCCGTCTACTTTAGTGTAAGTACTGTCGATTTTAATGTGCTTTCAGTCCAAACATTGAATAGTTGAATAGGCTTGACTCTCGATATATTTGTTATATAGTTTAATAAAAGTTTTTGCAATTTATTCCCAATTTTGTTTAAACATATTTATTTAAGCTCGATTGCGAAACAAGTTTTTTGCAACTTATATTAATCACTTTCGAGTCCGCTTCCTGCAACCAACCAGTACTTGATCTCTCTCTTTTT